CTGCAGGGAAACAGAAGCTACAGTATGAGGTGAGTTTGTGGCTATGTTAACTCTTCAGTTGGTGCCCTGCTGCTTGCACACCTGTTTTTTTAATGTTACAGTACACTTGGTGAGAGAGAGTAGTCTTACTCAGTCTCTTGTTTGTATGCATTTTAATATAGTCTTTAATTATATCATTGCATGTTATTTCTATGGAGGACCATACCTCATTAAGTGCACTTGCCGGCTAGAGCAGAGCCAAGTGTCACCTAGACAGTTCAAGTGTAAATCTGCTGAAGTCAGCAGGCTTTCTCTGAAATTATGCTGGTATAGCCTAACAAAAGGCTAGTTTGGAACCTTTGTTGTCCAAGTATACTAGTTTCCTTTGTTCATCCAGGCAAACACTCCTTCAGAGCCTTGCCACATTGAGTGTACAATGCAAAGGAATGCACAGAGCATTCATGATTTGTACTCCAATGACTTCATGCAGGGTGAATTATTGAGTTTTCTTATTTCTTATTTTAAAAAGCCACATAAATCATTTATTTGTCTGTAGAACACCAAAATGTTGAAATTACTTACTCCCCCCCAAAAAACCTCAATACTTAAAACCATAGGCCACATCCAGACAAGCATTGATGTGTGGTATGTGGCACTGCAGACCCATCTGCAGCACCACATACCACACGTGCAGGCATTCCCCACCCTGCTGCATTGCAGAATGGGAGGGGGGGGGATATCTTGGGGTAAAAAAAACCCCATGCTGAAACAAAGTGGGTTGGCGCATGTGCCGGTAGTGCATGGCACCCAAAACTGGAGCCTGACTGCCTGGAGCTATGCTCTGGCTCCTGGCCAGGCTTTCTGCTGTGGCTGCAACCCCGGGAACTCCCCAGGACCCCATGTAAGGCTGCTGAGGCCAGCACACTTGCTAGCCCCAGCCTTCCCTACCCCACCCAGGATAACCTGTGCACCAGAGCATGCATGGCACAGGTGTTCCCTGGAGGCAAGTAGCAGTGGCACAAGATGTGCCACTGCTAATTGTCCCTGGGGAAATAAACGTCTGTGCTCGTCTAGACGCGCCCATAATGTCCATTCATGCCGTAGGGTTCTTAAAGCTGTTATAACCTTCCCAAGTCTAAATAAACCTTCACCAGAACAGCAAAAGGAGCATGTCTTGCTGTCAAATGTTAGCATTTTCTTGAGGCTATAGAGTTATTTAAAGAGTTTTTGTTTGTTGTTTGGTCATTTGTTTGTTTATAATGGCAAAAGTGTGTTCCCACGCGCACACAATCTAGATATATAAAACAGTGAATGTTGCCCTAAAGTGTCCAGAAACTCATCCCTGGACAGAGATATGAGGTCTGTTAAACTTCAACCTGAAACGGTTTGACAAAAGTTTTTTTTTCAAATGCTTATAATTTTTCTTTGAGTAAACATACTTGGATATCTTCCATTACAATTGTCATTTGCACTCTGGGTATAGTAATGTGGAAGTGCTGTACATTGTGCCAGTGATTTTAACGGTATTAAAACCTGGCTTGTCATGCTTCTCCACTGCCGGCTCTCTGAGATGCTGAGATTTGTGCTCTACATTATGAATCTTCTTGAATTCTTCATGCATTTTGCAGTGAACTGCATAATTGCCCAGGTTTAGTGAGAACAGGATCCAAAATGCTAGATCTGGCCTTTGGGGAATATTAAGGCTTTCTGTTGTCTCTTGCAGGGCATCTTCATCAAGGACTCCAACTCTTTGGCTTACTACAACATGACAAGTGGCTCTGTGATTCACTTGGCACTCAAAGAAAGAGGGGGCAGAAAGAAGTAAAAGCCACAGAACTCACAGCTGCCATATGGATGCCCTGCTGTTCTGTGTAAACCAAAAACTAGGATCCTCTGTCTTTGGAGGAAGAATGTGACCAGGTGAAACATCATCAGCCCAGCATGCTTACTAACCCCCAGTTTGGAACTGTAGGCTATATTTTGGTCCTTAATTCTATATCCTGTAATCAGAGGGGTTATAAGCCTAGTGAGATCTGATATTCCCCTGACAAAGCTGTATAGACATTGTGATTTAGTATGTAATCTCAACAGTTTTTAGTGTTTGTCATGCAAGCACTTAGTGTATGTGACTGCTGCAATGCTGTTGTTGGTGTTCACATATCTCTGTTTCATTCCTTACAGAAGTAGCATATTATTCTGAGGTCTTGTCCAAGTTGCATTTTTTTAAAAATCTTCATTTTTCAAAGAATTTATGATGATACAGGGAGTATTGCCTGCCTGATTTAAAATGCTGATCTTTTAATTTAACTTTTGTAACTGACTCAAATTAAGAAATTGGCAAATAAACCTTTTGCTCCCTCTCTGAAATCTGTGCGCAAGTGTCTTGCACTGATTTCTGCTTTGAATCTTCTTCTTTAGTATGAATGACTATACTTACATTTTGATAAATGTGATATGGCATTTTTTTATCCTGCTGTAACTTATATATTCATCCTGAACAGTTTGGACTGGTTTTTAAAACAAATCACAATCTTGGTGAGAAATATTTCAATTGGAACTGTTCAGTTCTCACATTTAGATGTTATTTGTAATATATTAAGACCAACCCAGTTATGCAGCAGTCTAGTTGCAGTTCCATTTAGGGTGCTTATGCTGAAAGTTCTTGGGGTTAAAGATTTGTTTCTGCCTTCTTTATACTTTCTGAAAGGTGAATCAATTCAGTGTGCTCCAAGCAGTCAGCTAATCTTTGGTATCCTTGAGTATGTGAGAAGGTCTTCATTGTTCTATAATACATTCTCTGAACTTTTAGGATCATCCAAATTAGAGCGGTCAATTAATCACAATTGACATGCGTGATTAATGCATTAATCATTGTTCGAGTTAATTTTTTTAACATGTTAATTGCTCATGTGGTTTTGGAGCCAGTGCCTGGGCTCTGCTTCATTGCTGTTACTGCCACCTCAAGGCTGCCCTGTGGGGCAGCAGTGGCAGTGCAGAGTACCACAGGGTAGCCTGGGTGTGGGTGCCAGGCAGCTGCAGCAGTGGGGAGAGGCACACGCAGACATGCAGCTGCAGCCTGCGGGCAGCCAGGAACACAGCTCAGGGGCATGTGGAGCAGCACCCAGCAGGCAAGTCTGTGAAGGAGAAGGGGCATGGGGGGGTGCAGATCGAGGCCCCCACAGTGAGAGGGGGGAGTGGGGCAGGGGCTGGGACTGGGGTGAATGGGGCATCGGGGCAGGTCGTGGGGCAGAACCATGGGCGGCTTGTCCAGCAATGCAGGGGGACTCCCACTGCATGTACCCCAGGTGAGGTATGGGAGGCGCATGCCTCCCCAGATGTGTGCACAGGTTGGAGGTAGGCTGCAGCTATAGACTGGGGCTCTGTGCCCTGTTGCCTTTGCCCCAGGAGCCACGCAATGCTATGCTATGCCTCCTGCCACAGAGAAAGCAGGGGATGCGGCACAGCCAGCACACAACCCCCGAGGCAAAGGCAGAAGGGTGCAGAGCCCCAGCCTCCAGCAGCAGCCTGCCTCCACCCCACACACAGATCTGGGGGGCATGTGCCACCGCTCGCTGCCGCCCCCCCACGCGCGAACTGAGCCACCTAGGCCCTGGGGCTGCGTTCACCCCAGCCCTTTCCCCTGCCTCTGCCCCTGTTGTGGCCCCCCCCCATTTATCTGCTGGGTGATGTCTGTATGCATGCGTCTATCTGTCCTTCACTCCCAAGCCACAGCACCCCTAAGCCCTCACTCCTAACCCACAGTACCTCACATCCTGCCAGGGTATGCAGGAACCCCACTCCCTGGACTCCAAACCCCATATACCCACCCCCCAACCATACAAAGTACCTGCATAATTTTGCATAACAGAATTTCTGTGCATAATTTTGAGGTTTTTAGCTGTGTGGTTAAAATCACAATTAATTGCAACTAATTTCTTAATCGTGCAACTAACTGCAATCACATTTTTAAATAGTTTGATGACCCTAATCAAAATCTGTTACATTGCTCAGACACTGTATAAAACAAACAAAAAAACACCTCTACAGAACCTTCTTGCACATCTACGTTTCCTGTTTAAAACCAAAGGCAGCATGAGTAGAGAAATTTGCCTTTTCATGAAAATTCCCATCGTGGATAAAGTTAAAAATTTTGACATCCTCCACACTCCAAATCCAGTCGACAAATGGTGGGTGGAGAAGAAATGATGGCTCTAAGGAAGATGAACAGCCAGGGCCTAGCAGAAGTGGTTGGCAGTGCTCCCAGCATGTGGAAGCCAGCTGTTCATTAACAGCTTACTGGTGTGTTCTCTTTTTTCCTTTTTTTTTTTTTTTTTTTTAAGATGGTCATGTTTTGTGGAGTAAGTAGAGAAACACTTGTACGGTAGATATACTAGGCTGATGTGATCTTCTGCCAGCCCATTCTATCCAGTCTGCAGGGCCTCTGAAAATTTTAGAAAATTAATTTTTATCTGCCCCTGTTTGTCTGTCAAAGATGACAGGCAGCCAGTGGCAGCAGGACCCAGAGGGAGCCTGTGGCTGAGCAGCAAGGCTGGCCCAGCTCCACTCCTTCCCCAGCTCCCTGCCCTCAGCCCCCAACTGGAAGCCTCTGCGTGACCCTAGAGCTACTTTTCCCCCAATCCAAATGGAAAGTAAGATAAGATTGGATGGAGGGAAGGGGGAAATGGCTGCGAACAGTCCAACCGCCCCATGGTGCTTCCCAAGCCAGGCTGGAGCCAGAGTGGGAAGCAGTGGGTGCGGGGGCAGAGGGAAGCGGCTGCAGTGGGCAGGGGGGAGTGGCAGGGAGGATGCAGAAGTGGTGCAGGAACTGGTAGGGGCCGCAGTGAGCAGCAGGGGCTCCTGGGAGCAGTGCAGGCAGGAGCCACGGGAAGCAGCAGGGGCTACAGGGAGCGGCGCGAGAAGCGGCAGGGTTCACAGGGAGCAACATGGGAAGTGTGGGAGGGAATGCAGGGAAATGGCAGGCGCAGGTGGGCATGGAGCCCATGCAGGTGCCCTGGGACCAGCAGGGACCCAGGGTGGGGCAGCAGGAGCGCAGAGCCTGGGTATGGGGTCTGCCTGTTTGCATCCCGTGAGGCTTGCATGCAGTCTGGTACAGCCGTACACAATGAAGCCGGCAGCCCAGCTCGTCTCTCTCCCACCTGCTATAACCCCACAGCCCCCCCACCACACTTACTCCCCAACCACACCCTGCCACATACACCCCTTTACTGCCCACACACAACATACAGTAGGACTGTATTTTGAGCTTTTATGCAGTCACTTCTAGATACACTTTGTAAACACACAAACCAGTACAAAAATATTTTAAAATAAAAGTTTTATAGTAGCTGTTTTTGGGTTTTTTGTATATAATTTGGGGTTTTTTCTGGTTTCAAGATTGTAGCACCCTTCCTCCCAAAAGGAGTACTTCTAGGGCAAGGAAAGGGACTTCCAGTGGCAAAGGTCAGGGGCTGGGGGCAGGACTTCTGGTTCCAGAATAGCAATCGGGAGTGGGGCAACTGTCAAGGGATGTTGGTGTGCCAGGAGCAGATGCTGGGGGGCTGTGAGGGGCCTGATCCTTGTTGTGGCAGCGCAGCCCCAGCCCCTTCCCCGCTGTCTGATGCAAGGCACACATGCCAAGAAAAATGCCTTTGTGTGCCACGCTCTTTCTCCCCTGGTCTAATCCATCATGGAGGAATCGCTGCCTATTCCCTCTGGAGCACACCTCCCTACTGCTATTGTTGACTGAGACTGGGGACAGGGGTAAGTAGGCATCTTTGGTTCTCCAGGGAAGTGGAGATTTGTGGCCTGCAGTGCAGGCTGGGCTGCAAGCCAGTGGCAAGTTGCTATTTAAGAGTGTAAATCAAAGTAATTGAGCCTAAGTGAGTTCCACTGAAATCATAGTTCTGTGGGTTAATATGTCTTGCCAGGATCCTTGATGTGCTCTTTTACTTCTAAAATAGCCAAGACCTGCTTTTATCTGCATAGGGCAAGGAGATTGCACCCGTTCCTATTAGATGGAGATGTTGCTGCAGAGATCTCTGGTTATTGCCACACATTGAATTATTTCAACATATTCTTTATGGGGTTATCCTTAAGATACCACTAAGCAATTAACAAGTAGTTTAGAAAGTAACTGCTAACTTACTCTTAGAACAGGAGCAAAAGATTGAGATGATTAGAAGCCAGTGGAATAATCATAATTTCGGGGTGCAGTTCAAAGCATTGGTTTTATCTGAAAATTTCAGCTTTGAGTTCTATTTTGGTAATCTCCTTTCCCTCCCATTCTTCCCTGCTCCAATTCCCTGCATCTCAGGCATTGAGTGTACTGTAGCACTGCAGCTAAACTCTTCACAGTTTGTGCCTGGAATGCAGTTAGTGGGGGATCGATGATTCTGGAGCTTGTATAGACACTGCTTCCATGTGGTGACCTTCAGGATGTGCTGCAAGGCCTATTCGGAGTTAATTGGGTGAAACGGAGGTTAGATGTGATCATGGCCTGAGAGATCTCTGGAGAAATTAGGAGTTATTCTCCATTGAAACTGGTTCAGTTACAAGTTGTCACTTTTTGGTACATGCACTGAGAGGCAAAGATACTATAAAGTGGTGAATAAAATAAGAAACATGATTTAGAGAGGCACTTCTTGTTAATCTTTTATCTTGCTCTTCAACAGTAACACAGTGCAGGACAGTAAAACTGACAAAGGCTCTTTAAGCCAGTGCATTTTCAGCTCGGTTGTTGTGGCAAGCTACTCAAATTGGCTTCACAATTGTACCTGTTTTCACACTATTCATATATGTGGATGTGTCTCTAGCCCTAACTTAGAGCTGGGGTAAAGGAAAGGGATGATTTCGCCTACCTCTTATAGGAAATTGTATCTTTTGAAGTCATTAGTAAAGAAGGACTTTGTTTTCCACGGTTTGAGAGAACACTGAGCAGAATGATATATAATCTATATCTAGTGTTTCTGTTGAAAGGCTCAGAGCCTTTTAGTTTAGGTATATAAAGGTACTGACTACCTGCTATCTGGCTCTTATAAATTCTGGCATTGAAGTCGGAGTACAGTGGGCAAAATCTCAACTTGCAACTGAGGTCTAGGTCAGGGGTGGGCAATTATTTCGGTTGGAAGGACGCTTAACAAGTTTTGGCAAGCTGTCAGGGGTCGCATAGCCCCTTGACAGTGGCCCTGCCCCCTGGTCACCACACTGGGACTGGAAGTCCTGCTCCCTAATCCCTGACCTTTGTCACCAGAAGTCCCTCCCCTTGCTGCCCCCCTCCCCCACAATCCTTTTGGGAGGGGCGGGTTGCCATCTTAGAACCAGAAAATAACCAAATCATACATTAAAACTCAAACACCTACTATATTTTAATTTTATTACAAAAAAATGTGTCATGACTTATGATTGTGTACTGTATATACAAAGGATTGCATCATAACTCAAAAATAGTGTCACTTTTCTATTGTGTGTATGGTGGGGTGTCAGGCTATGAGGGGTGGTTGAGAGGGTGTGGCTGTGTAGGGGGGCATAAGGTTATGTAGGGGTGTGCGTATATGTAGATGGGGGTTGTGCATACAGCGCTGGCCAGAGCCGTGCCCTACTGGGCGCCTGCGCCAGGCACGAGCACCCTGACCTCCCTACCTGTTGTTGCTGCCAGGCAGCAGGAGCTGCATGCCATGAGGGGAGTGTGTGGGGAGTCCCTACACCTGCCACCCTCATACCCACACCCTGCCCAGCCAAGCTCTGCACTCCTGCTGCCCCCCTGGGCATAGGCTCCACGCTTCTACCCAACTGCAACTTCACCCTGCCACTCACCAGCCCCACTGCTTCCCTACCTGCTGTCCCAAGTGAGTTGACTTTAGGAAGTCAAGCAGGTTCCCATGGGGTGGCTGCAGTAGGAGCCCTGCCCAGAAGCTGCTGCTGGCTGGACAGAGCCCTTCCACCCAAGAGGTTGGGAGCAAGGCGCAATAGGGTAAGTTGAGGGAGTATATGCATGGGCGCCTCACTCAGCCTCGCGGGGGGGAAGGTCTGAGCAGGGCATAATTCATTGGGTGGCACCATGGATGAGGTGAAAAGTGCCTGGC